CCCCCCCCCTATAAGGCTCGTTATCAGTCCTTCTCAGTCATTGACACTTCTTATCACGAACCATCAATGTCCCCATCCTGCAATTTCTATGTCTTCCAAACTTGAATGCTCTAGATCCACATGAACAGTAGTTAGGAAATTCCGTTCGAAGACTTCACCCGTGTCACCTTTACTCTCGTTGATCTTCGATTTCCTCGAGCGGGCGCCAATAGCGTCTCTCCCTGTCCCGAGCCAGAGTAGTCTAGTCAATCGTACATTCCTTCCAATCAGAGCTTTCGTGAAGAAGTCTGACCATCTCGTTGGTGGCCGTCCTGGTGTTCGCTTGACTCCAGTCCGTAACCGCCCTGGTCCAACGGTCATCACTTTATCGCGTGACGTGCCCGGCCCGTCTGATTTTCGATTTCTTGGCGTATTCAAAGGCATCCCTGATTTCGTTCGTCGACTGAGCTCCGAACTCCGGATTCCCTTTTGCACTTATGTTCAAATCGATGTACGTAAGACATAATGGCACTCCCGCAATACTTCAGTGAGTCTTGTAACGGTGTGGATCTCATCGGTTGTGCTGAACCCTCTGCTAGAAAACTTATTTCGCGCAAACCCCGGAGTGGCGGTACAGAGCGAAAGGCAACAAACAACATCCTCCGAATTCTGCGGAATCTCTGTAGACACTATATTTTACCTCACGGCATAGTCTCATTTGAATGCCCAAATTTCCACCCGCCACGTACACGACGCATGAAAAAGGGGCTCTGGGCAAGGATACGTGGCGGTGGTGGGGCAGCTAGGGGTCACGTGGTGCATTTCGAAAAATGGCGCGCAAACAATGTTGCTCCCCAATGCCAGGGAAACAGAAGGCAAATAACTAGAATCGCCAGCAGCCGCACGCGAGTGGCGGAGGATGCTCTCTGATGTCTTTCGCTCTGTAGCACCACTCAAAACCCGCCCCTGTGAGCGGTGTTCGGTTCTGCAACGTATTATCAGCGCTCCCACAGTCTGTATTTCTCGTCTGTACTTCTGCAAAAATTGAATGCTCTAGGTCCACTGAGACAGCACTTATGAATCTCCGCCTAAACGTTTATTTCGCGCATATCCCGCCCAATGTGGATGGAATTTGGTTCTGCCACATGGTGTTCTCATCCTGCCGCCTATACTCCTATAAAATTTGTACGTTTTCGGTGTCCACGGACAGCAGTTATGTGTTCTCGGTCAGACACACACACGCACACACACGCACACACGCACACAAACACACACAAATACACACAAACACACAAAAATACATACATGCATTTATACATATATACATACATACCTACATATTATACATACGTACATGCATGCATACATACATACATACATACATACATACATACATACA